ACATACATACATACATACATATCATTTCATTTCATTTCATTTCATTTCATTTCATTACATTCCATACCATACCATACCATACCATACCATACCCATACCATACCATAACATTACATTACATGACATTACATTACATTACATAACATAACATAACATAACATATCATTACATAACATTGCATTGCATTACATTCCATTACATTACATTACGTTACATTACATTACATTACATTACATTACATTACTACCATTACATACATACATACATACATACATACATACCATAACATTACATTACATTACATTACATTACATTACAATACATACATACATACATTACATACATACATACATACATATATATAATATAATATACTGCGTATATATATATATATCCACATGTCATATTTCACCATGGTGTCTGTTCAAAAATATTCCGAAACGGAAGCCATCGACACCACGGACACAAACCACCCAGGAATATCCAAGGTGCCATCTCGCTGTTGGTGGCTGAGACACATCCGCGGCCAAAGTCCCCAGACTTTGGGGCAGTGACATTTCCTGGGTGACGGTGCCTTTCCACCAAGATGACTGGGATCGCCGGATTCAATCCCAATTAATGGAAACATGAAAGAACCACAGTTGAAAATTATGGTAAAACATTGAAACACTACTTGGTGGTTGACCTACCCCTCTGAAAAATATGAGTTCGTCAGTTGGGATGATTATTCCCAATATATGGAAAAATCATAAAAAATGTTCCAAACCACCAACCAGAACATATTGAGACCGCCACTCAGTAATTTCTGTTGGTGTGCGCGTGTACACCGAGCATCATCTCAGCCAGTGTCTCACTGAAGGGGGCGCAGCCCTTGGCCGGACGAATTAGAGGACGACCCTAGGCAGCTAGAACGTTTCAAAAAATGCCTAGTAGATGGCCCCGTTTACCAAAAACAAAAACTAGAAAAAGGGCTGTATCAACAGAATTGTGGCACCAAAAAGGAGTAGAGCCAGCCATTTTCTAGATTAGTCCATCTTTCAGAATTGTTTTTGCTTTTTTTTTCATCGCGAAGAGCCTCTGGAAAATGACATGTTTTCACTAAAAACAACTCGAACAACGTTTTTCCCCCAGGGCGATTTGAAAATCCTCGAAAAAGGAGTCCGAAAAGAGAACTAAATAACATTATATAAATATATAAGTGCCCTCATTTTCCATGGGAAAGTTGGACGGGGATCCATTTATTGTATCGCAATGGCTGTGTTATTCACCTTGGATCGTCTCATGACTCATAGCTGGTTCGTAGGTAGCCCGGATTCCTTAGTCGTCCCCGAGTTATGTGTTGTCATAACATGTCATAACTATATCTGGTTGGTGGTTTCAACCCATTTGAAAAATATGAAAGTCAGTTAGGATGATTCCTCCCAAGATATGGAAAAATAAACAATGTTCCAAACCACCAACCAGATATGATTATTAACCACTTTGCCCACGCAATTGCGCCTTAAGACTCTTCTCATGGACCCTGGACTCTGGAAAACCAAGATGCCATGTTCTTCCAGCGACCTTCTGCAGGGCAAGTGCCTGCAATCTGCGACCATCTGGGGAAGCAGTATGACATAGTATGACCATGATGATTTCATCCTAAGTTGGCAGCTCCTACAATTGTGACCATTCCAGTTCCCGACTTCCCGACTTTATCATTGGAGCCGCAACCCCAAGTAAGGCATCCCCGTTGACCAAGATAAAAAATGTTTTTCAACGGGGAGATCAGCACCCTTCGGCGCCTCCGGAGGTCTTGGCATCCTGGTGCTGAGCTTGGGGTGGGACAATCAGAATGGGGGCTATCACAAGTTCTACCCAAAGTTCACCATCCATCCCCAATGACATTCTCGTAGCACCAGGCCTTTTGGTGATTCCGAACCAAAATCATCTGGTTTTCCCCACGCGTCGTCGCAAACGACTTCCCTACGATGCCTCCAGGGCCTTCTGGAGCCCCAGGAAATTATAGCGCTCCTCCATGAGGCCAAAAACATCCTGGCGACGGAAAAGCACGGATTTATAGAGATTTATTATTAGTGTTGTTATGATTATTATTAGTAGTATTAGTATTATTGGTATTACTATTGTTGTTATTATTGTTGTTATTATTGTTGTTATTATTGTTGTTATCATTATAATATATATATATATGTATATATATATGTGTGTGTACGTTGATTGTCTCTACAAATGAGGGTTTCCTGCTATTTTTTTGGATCATGCAAGCCTAGGATTGGTTGAACCCCCTCCTTTTTGTAGGGGATAAATGTTTTCCTGCAGTTTATTACAGCATCAGTTGGTGATTTTCACACCTTGGACGTTCATCTGCACATTTACATGGGAGCATGTGGAAACATTGCATCTGGGTTTTGATATCATCTCCGTCTCGATATGTTCAGCCAGGACAAGTCGTCAGCCGCATCAGATATTTTTGGTTGGGCCTGGAAATGCCTGGATCATGAAGTTTACCGTGCCACACCATACTTCCACCTCCATCAAATTCCCTCAACCTGGTACCAGCCCATTTGTTTCCCTGGTTAGTGCCTTCATCTCCTTGGGGTTCAAAGGTTTCAGGATCTCTGCCTTCTCATCGATGTCCTGATGTTCTTCGGGGAGACATCTGAAGAAGTCAACACCACTTCAATGACTTCAGTCCCACAAATGGGTCTGAAAAATAGGGTAGCCCTATTTAGCAGTGGTTGATAGTCACCATTGAAGTAACTGTCTGGGTTTATCCCATGTTTAGACAAACCCAAATGTTCCAGCCTGGCTCTTCACGGGCTCTCTGACCCCAGCAGCCAGCTGGCACCACCTTTGGAGGGATCCGTTGGAATGGAGATGGTCTGCACGTGGCTAAATAAATAGCTTGGTTCAAAGGAGAATCTTGTGGGAAACCTGTGAGTGATTCACATTATACCGTCCAATGTAGGGGCGTCTGCTACGTCTTTCTTGAAACAATCTCCGGAAGATTACTTCTACCCTTCGAAAGATGGAAAAATCGAGTCCTCCAAGACCTAAGCTTGGCTGGGCAGGCGGCCGCCAGCGGGACTTGGCGACCCTGACTTCAACGCAGGTATTACCCAACTCCTTACGCATGAAGCGCCCGTAAAAAAACCAGTAATGTCTCGCTTTGGACGGCCAGTAGTCTTGACCCCATGGGCCCCCCAAATCTTTGCATTCTACTGGGGCTTCCATTGCCTTGGCCCAAACTAGTGACCAGTGCAAGAAACAAGGCAATCATCCACCAAATCTGGAGCCTTGGAACGACCTCGGCAAACGAAGATGTTGGAGGTGATGACTCATGTGACTCATGTTCAATGTGTTTGTTGAAGCCTTTTGGTGCATCCCATGCCCGATCAACTAGAAAATGCATACTACAGCTGCCAACATGTTTACAAGTTTCCCTGCCAGCTTGGCCATGAGAATCTTAGGGTTTCAAACAAAACAGACCAGGTTCATAGCCATCTCCAAAACTCATATCGCCTTTTTTTAGTCACGATCCTGAATGGTTCACTGTGGCCTCATCATGGGGGCTGAGTTATGCAAATCTATGGAAAATCCACAGTTTCTAGATCATTGTGCAAGTGGGAAACCATCGGTCTTCCATGTGTTTTGTCCAGTGAAGTGGTTGCTGGATAGATCCCTACCAGTATGTTTGTTGCTTAACATCCCGTCCATGTGTCTACAATGGGTTGGAGCAACCCTGAAATATGAAGAGAGCATGGGACATTCATATGATGTGAATGGGGCATATTATACATATATATATATATATGTGTGTGTGTGTTGCATAAATACGGTACAACTTATAACAGCTATGGTCCATAAGTACAGTATGGTGATGGCTTTTCCAATACAGCTGCAGTATAGCTATAGCCTATATAGCTATAGATGACTATAAGATACTATAAGTTGGAGCCTTTCTGAATGCATCCCAGCCACATTCGACATGGAACTGGGCGGTCGCAAGCGCACCATGGCACGCTGCTGCGCGCCATGGGCCGCCGCAGATGTGGCCAACTTGAGACGTAAGGACTGCCGAGATCGCGTCAATGGATTGATCCAATGGAAATGCGAAGCCATTAGGAAGCCATAGATTTTAGATATTTGCATGTGGTTTTATATGGATTGTTTATAGGTTTTAGTAGTGTGTTTAAGATATTGTTTTTAGATGTTTTTAACTGCTGTTGCATGTGTGCCCCAAATACAAAAAGGAGGTTCCTGTAGATTTCCCCACCACTTCTTGGGGTTTTTCGTCATGCGATTTGGGAGGGAACGCCCATCCAACAGACCATCAACCGGGATGGAAGTCACAAGAAAGAGGACTTCCATCCCGGTTGATGGTCTGTTGGATGTATAGTATAGTAAGCCCCCAAAAAAAAAAGATAGACAAGTCTTGTAAAGTCTTTCCGGGATGGTATAGTTACCTCATAGTTTTCCAGGTGTCCCACGTTTCTATCTATTTTTGGGGTGCTAAAATCATAATAACAAAACACACCCATGGGTGCAAACGAAGCACTTTAGCAACAAAAATGAATGAGGGGCAATGGCAAATGGATATGAGTCAATGGTGAATGGTGAATTTCTGGTGTTGGATAGTGGTTTGGAATCCCAGATAGAGGAGAAACATGACAAGCAGTTCCACTCCAAACCAACCCCAAGACATGGGCAACATTGTGAATGGAAATGTGAAGTGTGCAATACAGGGGGGCCTTTTGGAACTGGAGAAGATGTGCAATATAACTCTGCACAATGAGACATGTCACCATGTCCAACCACTTGAAGTGCACTACCCTCTGGCAAACTAATATAGCTATTGAAAATTGCCATTTATAGTTGACTTACCTATCAAAAAATAAAATGTTCTATAGTTATGTCAGTTTATCGGGGAGTATGTGGCCAACATCCCATTGCCACGGAATACGGCCAGCTTCCGTATTAGAGGACCAACATGTCAAGCTACGGAGCAAGTCGCACACGCCTTGGCTTGTACTTTTTATTCCTCCCTTTCCTGGGCCTCAGCAAAGATGACACCTATGAATAGCCTATGAAGCTGATCACGTGATGCTGTCATCTGTGATCCCTGACCCATGCTGGAAATGCTATGCGCCAATGGTTTCTGCATCTGTTTCGACATGATCCAGTGATCAACTGGCATCGTGAGCCAAGCCTTTTGACTCCGCACTGAAGGACATCACAGTGCCGCTTCCATGGGTCCTGCCAGAACCAGCGCGAAGAGTTGTCCGCTGACATTCATTGCAAGGCACATGATTTTTGATCTCCCACAAATTAAAAGAACACAAAATTGTGTGAAATGTTGAAAGGGAACGCACATCTTGGGCTTAGAACATTGGAAAGAGACTTTCCGGCTTCCTGACTAGCTATGTGAGGAGACTTATATGGTGGTTTTTGTCACCCTGGAAAAATTGAAAGTCCAATCCTCACGAAACACATGGAAACATCATCTCAAATCCAGGATAAGGAACTCAATGGAATTTGCCATCCTCAAACTAATAGCTCGACCCTGAAAATTGATGAAAATTGCCAATGTTTTAGGACCTACAATCGCCTTCCAACCTGCAACTCATGGCATGGTTCGATCTCTGGGGAACGGACTCTTCAACATTCTGACAGTATCTTCGTCCATCTTCATCCATCTTCATCCATCTTCCAGTTTCAGGCTACATTCTCTACATTAACCTACGATGACATACAGTAACCATCTTCCAGTGACCCGCCCCAAAAGTTTCACTGCCCCTCTTTGGCGTGGGATCATTGTACAAGAAGCGTCCAATACCTTCCTCCCGACCTGGGCGCAGCTGGGATGGCCCAACCAGTGATCACTGTTGGTATCCTTTTCCGGAGTTCCAGGCAGCTGAGCGACTAGCCCTTTATTTCGCAGAAGGAGCAGCATATGACAAATCCAAATGCTCCAAGGAATCGCTTCAACACATCCCACTTTCTTTCTTCATGTTCAATCCCCATTTTTTGTGGCTGACGCAATTTCCCTGCACATCCATTTTGCTTCAGAAAAACCCATGAAAAAAACGGTATATCACCCAGCAAGCTAGGAGATCTCCCAGGGCCACCGAGCTCTGAGTTCCTTCCTGAAACAAACGAAAATGCTCCAGGAAGGGCATGTAGGTGAACCTTGACAAGGCCAACCTCATCAACCTGATCAACCTGCAGATTGTGCAACATCTGAGCCTAATTATTTTTTTATAACTTGTTTCCCCAAAAAAAAACGCAGCTGTTCGGAGATGAATTTATGATAAGTTTCCATTAAAAGGATTTACCCTCTGGTTATTTAACATAGCCATGGAAAATTGCCCATTTATAGTGGATTTACCCAGAAAAAAATTGTCATTTCCATGGCTACGTTAAATAACCAGAGGGTAAAACCACCATTCACGGATTGCACATGAAATTTCCCAAGAAATTCAGCGCGGATTGATCCACCTCTGAGAAGCAGATCAAGGCCCTTTTCATCGGGCAGGTCACAGCTTGAGGTCTGGACTTAGGTGAAGCCTTCCAATCCTTGTGCTCTTGAAAGCACGCGAGGCCTTGGTGGTCACTGGGTGCCGAATCTCGCCGGGGATTTTTTTCCTCCTGCCCCGGGGATTTTTTTTCCTGATCTGTTCTGTTTTCCGTCCCCTGCATCTATCCTGCCACTTCCTTTCCATGCTGCATGCTATTTGCAGCATTTTGGAGCTGGAACCTTTCATTTTGCGTGTTATTTGCAGCATTTTGGAGCTGAACCTTCCATGCTGCATGCTATTTGCAGCATTGTGGTGCTGGAACTTTTTATTTTGCATGCTATTTGCCGCATTTGGGCGCAGGAACCTTCTATTTATCATGCTGTTTGCCGCATTTGCGCGCAGGAACCTTTCAGTTTGCGTGCTATTTGTAGAATTTGGGAGCTGGAACCTTCTATGTTGTTGTATTTGTTGTTACGTTTGTTGCTGTTATGTTTGTTGTTGTGCTGTCTGTTGTTGTAATGTTTGTTGTTGTTTCTTTGTTATGTTTGTTGTTGCGACGTTTGTTCTTGTGATGTTTGCTGTTGCGATGGTTGTTGTTGTGATGGTTGTGGTTGTTGTTGTTGTTGTTGTTGTTGTTGTTGTTGTTGTTGTTGTTGTTGTTCTTGTTCTTGTTCTTGTTGTTGTTCTTGTTGTTGTTGTGATGGTTGTTGTTGTGATGCTTGCTCTTGTGATGTTTGCTCTTGTGATCGTTGTTGCTATTGTGTTTATTGTTGTTATTTGTTATGGTTGTTGTTGCTGTTGTTGTTGTTGGATATGCGCAAATAAATAGCCACAAAATATGTATCTAAATGACAACCTGTACATATATATATATATACATACATACCTGGATCGCCAAAGTTGCAGGTTTTTCTTTGCAACTTTTGAATTTCACATCACTTTGTTTCTTTTTCCATGGTATAACATTTATTATGATCACTGCCATCTAGACATATTACTTTCCCATTCTGGGTATCCTAGCACCAACCATCACCACCGACCCGCCACAGCAGCAATATTTTCAGTGGTACAGTGGTACAGTTGCTGGTTGCCTGCCTGGCTGCCTGGCTGGCTTGCTTGCTTGCTGGCTGGCTTGCTTGCTTGCTTGGTTTGCTCGCTGGCTCCCTTGCTTGCTTGCTTGCTGGCTGGCTGGCTGGCTGGCTGCTGGCTTGCTGGCTTGCTGGCTTGCTGGCTGGCTGGCTGGCTGGCTTGCTTGCTTGCTCGCTTGCTGCCTTGCTTGCTTGCTTGCTTACTTGCTTGCTCGCTTGCTTGCTTGCTTGCTGCCTTGCTTCCCTGGCACACCAGTCTGCGGGAACTTAGCCGGGAAAAAAATTCCCCGGGGAGGAAGTAAAAAATTCCCCGGGGAGGAAGAAAAAAATTCCCCGGGGAGGAAGAAAAAAAATCCCCGTAAAAATGGGGTACCCTCAACTTCCATATTTTTCTCATGGACGGTTGCGAGACTTATGGCGTGACTCACCCGCGCACTGGATCACAGACTCACCTGCGCACAGGATCCAGACTCACACGCACAGGATCCACACTCACCTGCGCACAGGACAGATAGCAAGGGAGAAACCAACCTTTAGGTTTATAAATTAGGGGAACAGGGGGGGAACAGGGGAACAGGGGTAGCAAGGGTTTATCAGGGTACCATACAGCGCGGAATGAGCACCACTGATAAACCCTTCAAGGGGATTCAACCCTTTAGGTTGGGTGGGGGGGGAACCATCAGGGCGGATAGATCAACACTGATAAACCCTTCAAGGGGATTCAACCCTTTAGGTTGGGTGGGGGGGGAACCATCAGGGTACCATACAGGCAGAATGATCAACACTGATAAGCCCCTCAAGGGGATTCAACCCTTTAGGTTGGGTGGGGGAAACATCAGGGTACAATACAGGCAGATAGATCAACACTGATAAACCCTTCAAGGGGATTCAACCCTTTAGGTTGGGTGGGGGGGGAACATCAGGGTACCGGACAGGGGGAATGATTAACACTGATAAACCTTTCAAGGGGATTCAACCCTTTATGTTGGATGGGGGGGGAACATCAGGGAAAATACAGGGGGAATGAGCACCACTGATAAACCCTTCAAGGGGATTCAACCCTTTAGGTTGGGTGGGGGGGAAACATCAGGGTACCATACAGGGGGAATGATCAACACTGAGAAAACCTTCAAGGGGATTCAACCCTTTAGGTTGGGTGGGGGGGGAAACATCAGGGTACCATACAGGGGGAATGATCAACACTGAGAAACCCCTCAAGGGGATTCAACCCTTTAGGTTGGGTGGGGGGGAAACATCAGGGAAAATACAGGGGGAATGTATAACACTGATAAACCCTTCAAGGGGATTCAACCCTTTAGGTTGGGTGGGGGGGGGAAAAATGTAAAAAAAGTTGATTGAGTGAAGTTTTCTAAACTAATATCATAGCAGTATAACAACTCAAATTTTATTCATTTTAAAAAACATAACAGTCTAAAAAGTCTTGATTAGCACTGTTGGTTGCTGCATTTTTCTCAACAATATCAAAACATAATTACCTCATTCAATTTTTCAAAATCATTTGTACCAGTCAAAAACATCATTACCCCATTCAATTTTTCAAAAATCATACCAGTCAAAAACAGAATTACCTCATTCAATTTTTCAAAAATCATACCAGTCAAAAACAGAATTACCCCATTCAATTTTTCAAAAAAACATACCAGTCAAAAACATAATTACCTCATTCAATTTTTCAAAAATCATACCAGTCAAAAACAGAATTGCCTCATTCAATTTTTCAAAAATCATACCAGTCAAAAGCAAATTTACCACATTCATTTCATAAAAAAACACAACAGTCAATTCATCATTCATTTCTCAAAAATCATCACTACTAACTATATCATCATCTCATTCATTTCTCAAAAGCATCACTACCTACAATCTCTCTACTACCTCATCCATTTTATAAAAATCATCACAATCAATACATTATCACCCCATCCATTCCATACCCAAAACAAAACAACCAAAACAAAACAAGAAAAACAAAAAGCACCCCCCCCCCCAAACAGGCAAAGAATAATATATAAGACAAAACAGCAGACAACAATAAAGATAAACCCTTAACCTTTCATAATCCTATCTTACAAATCCACGATTCTAATAAACATATATTTTGAGAAATATGTTAGTAGTTAATGTCTTCAATAATTATTGATATAGAATGAAATGCTTGTATTCCTGTTATACTATCTTTATCTTGGTCTTCTTATATCGGTTTTCATTTCTTCAACTGCTTTATTTAATACTTCATCTATATTATCTTCATCTACATATTCATCAAAGCCATTCATAAAGCAAATTTCTCTAAAACTAAATTCATTTTCACCAGATTCTTTTTCTGGTATGCTGATGATGATGAATATCATGAATGAAGGTGCATCCCGTGCACAGGCGAGTCCGGCCATCCCGTGCACCAGCGAGCCAAAATCCCGTGCACAGGTGAGGCGGTTACCAACCTGGATCCGACCAGTAGCCAAGCTCATTGTCCACTGGAAGTCGCCAGGGGATTGCTTTCCTGCTTCACCATTCCTTCAAGAGTATCAACCATCTATTGTCTATTGACCATGAAAGTGCATAGATTTCGAGCTTTGGATAGCTTTGGCATCCGGGCACTTGCCAGCTTCCGTTCGGCATCTCTTCTGGTAGGTCTCGGGGTAGCGCCTCCGGTCACGAGAAAAAGGTCTGCTTTTGGCTCTGGGTGGTTTGGACTTTGGAACTTCGGATTGGCAGCTGGCCAAGTGGAAGTAGTATATTGAAAATGGACAAACCATTTGTGGCCCGCTGGGGCTGAAACTTCTACTGGCAAACACAACACAACGGCGTCTCTTTCTGATAATCTCCTGAGGGACGAATGTGTCTGTGGATGGACGTGCACGCACCTAACACAAGCGAGGAAGCCATCATAGACCTGGCTTTCTCAGGTGTTGACCAGTTTTTTTGGCGGTTTGACCCTTAATCCTTCTTATATGGTTGAACCGATTGAAAACCCATTTGGGTAGGCCTGCAGACCCTAGCTATAGCCGGTACAAAGATGAAACATCCATAAATTATAAATGCATATGCAGCATATCGTAGGTATAAGATATACATAGAAGTAATGATATAATCAAGATATCTATGTTACATCAAAAGTAGACAAAAGATAATAAAAGTAGTACATCAAAAGCCCCCCATCTGTGCCCTCCAAAAGCCCCTCATACCCTCTGGTAATTTAACGTAGCTATTGGAAATGGCCATAGAAATAGTTGATTTACCCATTAAAAATGGTGATTTTCTATAGCTTTTTGTATGTTTACCAGAGGGTAATATGGATCTTATTGGATCTTCATGCTGTGCCACGCCTTGGAGCAAGGATGATCTTGCGTCTGGATACCACCCCTGACGGGCTCGCGAGATATTATAACCTGGTTGATTTGTAGGGGACAACCCATCTGTGGAATCCTCAGCAATTGGGACATTGGGACATCCACGACGTACTAGGGATGGAGAATAAGAAAACTGAGGGCTCACTATTACTGGTTGGTGGTTTCAACCCCTCTGAACAATATTAGTCAGCTGGGATAATTGTTCCCAACATATGGAAAAATAAAAAATGTTTGAAACCACCAACCAGATTATGAAATGAAATTCTTACTTACTGTATTCTTACTATTATTACTATTGTTTCGAATGATGGGTTCACACTATGCAGTACAGCATCATGTTAATTTGTTGTTCACACAGCACATATTTTGCCAGGCTGTGATCCTTCTGGGGCCACAACTCCTTCTTTGAAATGCGCTTGGCCTCAGACGAAGATGGCGGGGATTAACCCCAGAGCTTCGGTGATCCATGGGCGTAGGTCAAGACCTCCAGCATGGTACCATCGATGTCTGGCAACATCCAACACCAACATTTTTCGCACTTTGAGCATCGAGCATCGAGCAGCTGGCTATGAACCCAGCTACCCTGCTACCCTGGTTATAAGGGACCCATGGACGCATCGAAGACGATCCCATAAGTACTGACCCCATCCCCAGCAGAATGCCACTGGGAAACCACTGGGAAACATGTCCGCCGTTGACCCACCGTTTTCGCAAGTGAAAAAAAAATGTTCGAAGGCCCTGTAAGGCCCTCACTCATTTTGGAAACAGACACTTGTTCAAACCCATTTTGTTTGCACCCACATCACCCAGCGGCACTGATGCTGAAGGGAAAGTCTGAAGCGATTTTTTCACCGCCTCAAGTATGCGAATGCAGCTCAATCCCGCCGCGATCATAGAGTGGCAACTCCCCTTCGCGCGGAGCTGACTGGAACCTCAGGTGATGCTGGCAACGGTGGAAACTTTCCATCGGCGCCTGGCCGAACCCAGTCAGCTCATCCCATCCATGGTGGATTTTGCACTGCATTTATATACGTACACTTGGTTTCTTTTTGTAGCACATGTAGGGAAATATACAATAGGTGGCAAACCCAGGCAGAAACCCTTCGAGTAATCTATCATCTGGGGGTCACCGTCACATCATCCCAAATAGGGGTATGCACAATGATAAACCCCAATTATGTGTTTTTGTCATCGGGTTTTCCTCATTAGGTGGAATCATGTCAGGTGGAACTATGTCAGAAATACTGGGAAAACAGGAAAACCAAATAGTGAACCATCAGTATCAGTAAACATTTGGACATGCGTATCTGCATGAATCTGGATAAATGTGACAAATCATTCCCATTCTTTCCCCGATATCCCCATTAGATTACCATTTTTGTTGGTTTCCCTCCGGTAATCAAATGACAATGAAAAATCCATCATTTATATATGATTTTCGCATTAAAACCTCAATTGTTAGGGTTGTTAGGGGATTTTCCATTGCCATGTTTGATTGCCGGGGGGTAAATCACTGTTGTTGAAAGACCATGGGATTCCACCCGTTCCACATCACCAAGCCACGTCTGCTGGGCTTTGGTCCAGCAGCGCTGCAGCAAACGCACCGGCAGTGAGGCTAAAGTCCTGCTTTAGCGTTGCGTTGCTGAACGAGCAAAAAGGGGACAGAACAGAAAAATCAATGAAGCCTTTCAGCAGATCAAACGGAAATAATACGAATAATTGTCTTAAGAGACTTGCTTAGGACCCTGTTCTAGCAACCTATCTTGCAAAAGAATGCAAGCGGGATGGAAACGTCATGCAGTAATAAACCGACAATTTGTTAAAAACCCACAGCAATAAACCTACCATTCAATATGCTTTAGCCATCCATGTCTGGAGAAATTGGGGATAGCTTGTCATTGGCATTACAGCATTACATCATTAATCGAAGGAAGTTTAGAAGTCAAACTTCCGACAATATGGACAGATGAAAAGCAGAGCTGGGAAGAGGCAGAGAGAAGAGAAAGATTAGAAGAAAGAAGAGTAGAAGAGAAAGAGTAAGAAGAAAGAAGATGGAGATGCGCGAAAAGGTAGGAAAGTCGCGAAACACTGTGTTTTTCCAATGATTCGGGGCTCCGGAGGGTCGAAAAGTAGGCTCGCTAAAGCGGCGGGTGCGGAGCCAGCTGGCCAGATGAGAGATGAAAAGTTGCACGCCGTTGTGGCGCGAAGCAGATTTCCAAGTCAAAATGTACAAAACACACCAGCTCCGGACCACTTTTGGAAGTTGAGATGTCAAAAAAGTGCACGCCGTTGTGGCGCGAAGCACATTTCCGAGTCAAAATGTACAAAACACACCAGTGTCGGACCACTCTTGGAAGTTCAGATGTCGAAAAAGTGCACGCCGTTGTGGCGCGAAGCACATTTCCAAGTCAAAATGTACAAAACTGTTAAACTTCGCGAGTGAGGGTGTTTGGCTGAAAATAAGTGTTTTTGGAAAACTAGTATCCTCACATGTGTTTTGCGCGAGCTGGTCGTGCTCAATTTCTGAGCTGACCTATCTGAGCATTTGGGGGCCCACAAGTACCACGTTGAATTTGCCTAACATGGGTGCTGTTTTTGTTGGTATTCTGGATTGGTCACCTTATGGCATACCTGCAACATCGCACTCTCCCAACGTGATGTCTTTGTTGACTCGATATTGTCACCTATAGGACCAATGTGAGAGCACAATTTAACAGCCAATGTGCCAATGGTATCCCTCCTTAATTGCATAATTTCAACTTCATTTTGCACCGTTTGTTTTTGTTTTGCAGACCCCGCTTCATATATTGTTGTTGTCTCACTCAGCGGTACCTCAATAGACCAGAGTTAAACCACAGTCAGCCAAACCTCAGACAATATCGGCACAGCTTCTGCGATTGGCACATGTGAACAGATGTTCCTTCTTAGAAACAACTTGTTGTGTAATGTTTCTCCAGGGCCAATGTTTGGTGTTTGCGTGCTTGCATCAGAATGCATGTTGGTTTTGGTGGCACGTAGAGATCAACAACACAATTTGTGAGAGCAAGGGAGTTTATCTGCACAGGACCGTCAAGCAACATTGGCTGTGAGTTGCAAACATGCCCAAGATTTTTAAAAAAAAATGTTTCGTGCCAATGTTATTTGAATGCTCCCTAAATGTTGTCTGAATGTTGTCTCTGGAGACAACATTCAAACAACTTTGGCTGCGAGTTGCAAACATATCCAAGATTGTCCACAAAAGTTTTTTCTTGCAAATGTTGTGTTGTCTGAGTGTTGTTTGAATGTTGTCTCTGGAGACAACATTCAGACAACTTTGGGCGGGAGTTGCAAACATATCCAAGATTTTCCACAAAAAAAATCCTTGCAAATGTTGTCTGAATGTTGTCTCTGGAGACAACATTCAGACAACTTTGGCTGCGAGGTGCAAACATGCCCAAGATTTTCAAACAAAATGCAAATGTTGTCTGAATGTTGTCTCTGGAGACAACATTGAGACAACATTGAGACAACATTCGGGCAAAAGAAGTGTTTTTCGCCTTTTTTTGGCTCGAAATAAGTGTTTTCGGCCTTTGAAAAAGGTCAAAAACACTTATTTTGTCCGAATGTTGTCTCTGGAGACAACATTCAGACAACATTCACTAATTTGCTGCGAGTTGCAAACATGTCCAATTTTTTTGTCAACAAAATGTGTTTTGTGCCAGTGTTGTCTGAATGTTGTCTCCAGGGGCGGCATCTAGACAACATTAACAACATTTGTCTTTGCTATTTTTTGCAGAAACATGTGTTTAAGAAATTTTAGGCATTTCAAAAAGGTTAATTTAAAACCGGCTGCAAGTTTGAACTATGTCTGTTTTTTTTCCAAACCTCGTATTTCTTTGCATTGGTTTGTCCCAATGTTGTCTGCGAAGCAACATTCACACAAAAGATCAGGAAAGTGTTTTGGGTGGCGCCAAATTGATCCCAAAGAATCCTCAAAGAAAACATTTTTTGGGGTAGGAATGCTCTGTCAAACACAATTTACAC